TAAGCAGCCACTTGTCACCACCCTGCGTCTGTCCCCCTCCTTCTCCCATCCTTCCTCTTCCCTTCCTCCATCTCACCGTATGACCCAGACTGTCCTCTCCTGCCCATCACTCAGTCTCTCCCAGTGCTGGAACTGCAGTTGTGTAATTGTGTAATTGTGAGCTATCAAGGCTGGACTGCTCTTTCTTTACTGTTTTTTTAAAGTTGAGATTTCAAGCCCATGGAGAGCTCCTTTCCCAATGTGCTGCAGAAGCATCACTGAACAAACAAACTTCTGGGAAACCCAGCTTAGAAACAAGCACAGCAGCTACCATTTATCCCCCCTCCTTCATTTCTTTCTAATGTAGGTGTAATAAAGCCTGCTCTTCTAAGTGGCTTAGGCGTTTAATAAACTAAACATTTCTCCCTGGGCTCCCAGGGGGCCTTGACAGTGTCTTATTATGGCTTAATGCTGCTGTCCCCTAAAAGTTTTCCCCCTCTTGGTCTGTACTTCTGTGGACCAGGTGGGCTTCACTAGAATTTCTGGCATCTTCTCTTATTTGTTTGTTTCCTTTTTTGGTTCTGTAAGAGTATTTAATGCTTACTCCAGCTTTTCTCAGTGACCAAAAGTTTCCTGTTTCTAATTTTGTTGGATATGATTGTGGAGTACATGTATGTTTGTATGTGTGTGGGCACGTGCACATATGTGCATATGTGTGGAGGCCAGAGGTTGACATTGAATATCTTACTCATTACTCTTGTTAAAATTCCTTCCCTGGGTCCTATGTAAAGCAAGGTCTACCCCTTCTCCCAAGATCTCAAAGAAGAAAGGGCTGATTCTCTGTAAAGGTCACTGGGAAACCAATGGATTACTGTGCTTCCTATGGAGCCAAGGGGAGGGGTTAACTGCAGGAGTGTGGTCACTCCTCTGCACTCAGGCTGCACCTGAAAAGCCTTCCCACCAGGGGTGCAGGCTTTCCTGCCTGTGTCTATATACTCTAGCTCCTCCCCCAGGCCACGTGCACTCTGGCAGGGGGTATGGAGCAGGGATTTCAGCCTAGAATCCTGTGCCCTGATCTGAGTCTTTATTCGGGAGGGGGAGGGAGTTTTAAATCTACCTGAGATTATTCTTTGCAGTGTGCACAGTTTAACTCCCCAACACAGCAGTTGCTTGGCTCATAGGGCTGTGGCTCCTGACACTTGCCACCTTATATGACACAGGGTCTCTCACCTGACCCCAGAGCTCACCAGTTCAACAGTGTAGCTAGCCTGTGAGCCTCCTCTGGGGGTTTCTCATCTCGGCCTCCCTAGAGTTAGGATTACAGGCTTGCCACAACAGGAGCCTGGCATTTTTCATGGATGCAGGAGATCCCACGGTGGTCCTTGCACCTGTACGGCCAGCCCTTTACCTGTTGAGCTGGCTCCCTAGCTTTCTAGGTGGAGTCTTTGAAAGATCCTTAAGCATTGGCTTGAGGGGAGAGGTCTGGATTAGTGTAGATGAATTTTCAAAAAGGCTAACTTCTCTGCCACCTTCCTCTGGAATATCTGAGTGGTGTCTCTGAGGCAACCCTCTTCCACTTCGGTAATACTGTGGTTTTACACACAGGATAAAAGTGGTTATTTGGGCTAGGGATGTGGTCCAGTTCACAAAATACTCTGTCCAGAAGAAATTGGCTATCTCTGGTGCCTATTAGCATACTAAAGCACATGCTGGCCTCATGTTTCTGAGTGCCACAACTGCCCATGGATCTTCTCAGCTCTCGTCACCCCGCTCCTACCCTGGAATTCTTTCTCTAGTTTATGGGCCTCCCTTCGCCCAGCTTCTCATTCCTATAGAACCCTGCCATACTGGCCATGCACCCTCTTAGTTTTCTTTTGTCTTCCTCTCTTGATGCTCCCTCTCTTGTCCTCCCCCCCCCCCCCAATGTCCAAGTTCACTGTGCTGGCCATAGTTAGTCTACTATTTTCTCTCCCTGCTCTGGACTCCCAGATGCCTCTCTGTTCTCTCCCTCAGTTCTACAAAAACCCTTCCCTTCAGTCACACCTTGGAGTGGTCACTCCTCACTTTCTACATTTTCCTAGCACAACCGAAAGCCTGGATTCTAACCCAGCACCTGTGACCCCTGCACTTGGAGGGTCAGGGTTAAAGGTCACCCTTTACACAGGGTTACAATAGTGAGTTAGAGGCCAGCCTTGGCTATCCGATCTTTTCAAAAACCCCAAAGTGATTACTATTAGGTATTAATAGATGTCAGCTCTTCATGGGGGTAAAAGCAGGGTAAAAGCCACCTGTGTTTGGCTGGCTCAGACACTAGCCTGTGCTTCCAGCCCTCCTGGGGTCACACAGTGCTCATGTTACAGCTGCATTTGGTCCTATGTCTGATGTTAACGGGCCGGTCCCCTCCACTCTACCAGCCCACCTGCCATAATGTGTATCAGGTGCTTGCTCTTCTGTGCGTTCACTAGCCGTAGGCTCTGCTCTCAGGTTATGTTTAGTTTGTTTTTAACCTCTCTCTGTCTCTCTCTCTGTCTCTCTGTCTGTCTCTCTCTCTCTCTCTCTCTCTCTCTCTCTCTATATATATATATATATATATATATATATATATATTAGTTCAATTAAGTCACTAACACTTAAAAATTAGATCACACCTTAAGGAAAATGTCTGGGTTTTCTTGAGAAATCATTAGACCTGGCAGTTCTGTGCTCTGTTGCTGACAGGGCAGTAATTAGTTGCACTAAATACCTCCTGTCCCTCCCTGTCCCTGCCTAGCCCAGGAGTGACTTCTCCAGCAGGGTCGCTTCACTTTTTGGTCTAACTTGTCTAGCCTCTGTAAATGGCTGTGCTTGGGACTCTTCAGCTATTCCTTTACATTTTAAAAATTACACTTATTTTTTTTAGCTTGTGTGTGTGTGTGTGTGTGTGTGTGCGCGCGCGCATATGTGTGTGTGTGTCTGTGTGTGTGTGTGTGTGTGTGTGTGTTCAGAGGACAGCCTGCTAGAGCTTGACTCTTTTCTTCCACCAAGTGGTTCCTGGGATTCCTCCTGCCCTCAGGCTTGCTGACCTTTAGCTCCTGAGTTATTTTTTTGGTCTCATTTTATTTCTTTAAAGAAACAATTTCTTATCTGTTAGGAATCTTAGGGGTGAAAGCTGCCTTCTGGCTCAGACTTGAGTTTTATGAACGTTTGTGGACTTTATGGATTCATTTTCTTCTCCACTTCTTCGGATTGTGGCTTAGCAGTAGTAGCGGTGACTGTCAGACATTCACGGAGCCCCATGACACTTAGTTGGCTTTGAGGGGAGGGTTGATAGAAACCTGTTTGCTGCCATAAACTTCCATAATCCTTCTCTTAGGTTGAATTCCAAGTCCCTCATTTACTCTGTGAGTACTGCAAATGAATATTGTACAAGGGCAGCATTGCAGATATGAGAGGGAAAACCATTCAGGGAGGTGGCTTTCTAGATCCACATTTCTTTCTTGGAGACTATTGAATTCTGTAAAGAAGACTGTTTCATGCTTTGGAAATATGTATTAGGTTGCTCTGATAAAAGACCATAGGCATTGTGGGGCAAAGGTTGTACTTGGCTTCTATGTCTTGATCACTGTCCACCATTGAGGGAAGTCAGGGCAGGAACTCAAACCAGAACAGAGACATGGGGGAAAGAGCAGTAACAATGGCTTACTCTCTGGGGCTCGCCCAGCCTGCTGTTTCCCCAACCCAGAACTACCAGGCCAATGATGTATTACCAGTTGGTGGGCCCTCCTACATCAATCATGAGACAATAAGATCGCGCAATAAGGCAAGTCTGATGGGGGTCATTTTCTCAATTGATGTCTCTTCTTCCTAGATCACTCTTGCTTGTGTTGTTAAAAACAAGCAAACAAACAAACTAGCCAGCATACCTTGTTTATCTCTTCTCGTTATCCACCCTAGTAAGCAGCTCAGACATTTCAGTAGAAATAGTCCAAAAACTGCTCGAGGTGACCTGTGCCTTTCATATTTCCTCGATGTTGCTGCAAGATCACCTTGATTCCATAATGAGAACATTGCTGATTCTTTTTTATTGTTTGTATGTGGGGATGCACACATGTGGATATAGGTGTGGTATGCATGCCTATGTGTGCACATATGGAGGCCCGAGGTCGATGTCAGCTATCCCCTCAGGTACTCCTCACTTTATATGTTGAGACAGGGCTTCCTTTCTCTCACTGAACCTGGAGCATAATGATTTGCTAGTCTGGCCAGGCAGCAAGTTCCAGGAACCCTCCAGTCTCGAGCTCTTAGTGATGGGATTTGAGATATGTTCTCCTATGCCCAGCTTTTTAAAATGGATCTGTGAATGGAACTCAGGTCCTTTTGCATGAATGGTGTAGCCAGTCTTTTTCCGTCCTGCCAGCCAGCTCCCAAATAACCACACAGAGACTTATTACTAATTATGAAGGCTTGGCCGATAGCTCAGGCTTGTTTCTGACTGGCTCTTATAAATTAAATTAAGCCATTTCTATTCATCTACCTGCTACCCGGTTGCTCACTTACCTCACCTATGTACTGTCCATCCTGCTTTCCCTCTTCCTGCGGGTCTCCTGGTGTCTTCCCCATCCTCTTCCCAGCATCCTCTCTGCCTGGAAATTCTGCCTAGCTATTGGCTATTCAGCTTTTATTAAACCAATCAGAGTGGCACGTTTTCACTTTGTATGAAAGGATTATTCCACGACAGCATGGCAAGGACTCTGTGAAGTCATTTCCCCAGTCACCCCTTTTATTTGAATGGAAAACAATTTCCTTTTCTCTGATTTAAATTTATCTTAAAAGTGAGACATAATAACAAAGTGAATTGGCTAATTTCATAGCTGTGGTCTAATTAAACATTTTTTAAAAATTCATACTATTCAGTAGTTGCATCTAAAAACTGCCCTCCCCTCAAATTCAAGCGATTTAATTGCTTATTTTGAGTCTTTGCTTTTGATGATGACAGGGCCTTGCATGGTGTTTTAAACTTTGTTTTGTTGGTTTTTCTTCAGGACCCTGCAGGGATCTTTGAGTTGGTGGAACTGGTCGGAAATGGAACGTATGGTCAAGTGTATAAGGTAAGAACGTTAAGCTTGATCATGGCTTGTGTGTGTCGCTGGTTCCTGAGCGCCAAATAGCAGAGGCGGCCATACTTGTTCATAAATGCCTCATCACAATAGACATCAAGTGACTTCAGACATCAGTGAGTTTACTCTCCACCCTTTTGGATGTAGCTGGGTTGAACTGACTGCGGGGGCGGTGGGCGGTTGTGTCTGTGGCTTGAGAGTCTCCTGCAGTGTACATCCCAGTATTTGTAATGGGAAGCAAGACTCGGATGTCGCTTATCTGGGGCTCACAAAGTGGTGAGATTCCTTCACTTTCAGCATCGCCAAGCTGCTTTCCAAAGGAGCAGAGGACAACATTCCCTTTCAAAACTCAAGCTATTAGGCTTCTGCAGCCACAGAAGTGAATTTGTTACTCGCCCAGGGCACAGGTCAAATGGGCTCCTCACAGGGTTAGAAGAAAGCTTGCTTGATGACAAGAGGAGGTACAGATCCACGATGCAGTCAAATGGTTAGCTTGAGTTGGAATTGGACTGCCTGCTCTTTTTAAAATTTTGCCACAAATTCATCTAAAATGTGTAAAAGATGTCTTTTCTCCTAATAAATTATCTATTTTTTTTTAAGTTATAGGTTGATTCCTCTTTTGATGATTGAAAAGAAACCTAGATAAACTGTTTGGAAATAGTGTTTGGGGACATTTGGTAAACAAGCAGTGTGTCCTCTGGAGCATTTCCAGGGAGCGGTCATTATTATTTCTATGAGGTGGTGATCTAGGATGGAATTTCATGTACAAATTATATCTCACTGTCCTGCTTTTAAAAATTCCTTCTTTTCCCTAAGCCTCTTTCAAGTGATCAAAAGTGTTGTTGAGGTTATCCAGACTGTGATATTCTCAGTCCTGTGGCGTTGTAGAAGTTATCCAGACTGTGATATTCTCAGTCCTATAGGATGTCAAGAGCAGCTATGCTTAAGGGATTGTGAGAATCTAGTTTTCAAAGCATGGCTGTGAGTGGCTACGCACGGATGCTTTTATTGACCATGAAGCCCTTTTTTGGTGCCTGCAAGGGTGAGAGACAATCCTCCCTTGTGAGAAACAACCATTTCCTACAGTACTAAACCTTTCCAAAAAGACAGAACGGAGACTCTATGAGCTGTTGACTTGATGTTGATCCTGCCTGACACAGAAAGAGATGGCTCTCAGAAAGTGCTTTTAAATACTTGCAATGAAGATAATTAGGTTGGATGATTGTGTTATTGCAGCTTGAGAAATTGGATTGAACTTACAGTGTAATGTGGCTAATGAAGTCAACTCTATTCTAGACAGAAAATGACTGCTGATTTCTTGTCTATGTGGTGGAGCCACAGTCGTGTGCTGTTCGTTTCAGAATGGCATTGGAGGATGCTTCCCACTATAGAGTAGATATTTAGGACCCACTTAGAAGCTTCATCTACTAATCCGGCAGGTAGAACTGTGCAACCCTGCAAGAGGATAGAACAAAGGTATGCGGTACTGTCATCCTGACAGGGTCCAGGGTTGCCTAGAAGGTAAACCTCTGGGAATATCTGTAAGGGAGCTACACAATTCGCTGACCTGAGGTGGGAAGCCAGCCCTAAATTTGGTAGCGCTGACCTGTTTGTTGGAGTTCCAGACCGAATTAAAAGGAGGAAGTGAGCTGAGCACCAGCATCCATCTCTACTTCTGACTGGGGTGCAGTCTGAGCAGTGGCCTCACATTCCTGTGGTGCTCCTTCTCCGCCTGGTGCGCTATGGTAGCCAAGCTGCGAGCCGAAAGAAATCCTTTCTTCCTTAAGCTGCTTTCCCCCACGTATTTTTATCACAATAGTAATAAAATAATGAATGCAGCGTTCAATTATAAGTGAAGCCTTTCAGAAAATCCAGAATGGTGTCAAATTTCATGGCATTGCACGAGAAACAAGAACCTAAGTCCGATTAAGAACTCAGCAAGTGTTCAAGAGTCTCCCTTCTTTCTAAGAGTGGGCTTCCCCAGCAAGTAGGTAGTTGACATTGTGATCCTAAAGGCTCCGTTTCCATTAGAAGAGGAGATTGCTGTCAGATCCCGGTGAGGACAGGTGACCTGGAGACAGGAGATAGGGTCTCTTTCTCAGTAGCAGTTCCTGGTTTGTGGCTGCCACAGGTTTTCCTACTTGCGTCCAGTGAGAATGTAGCTCCAGAAGCTGCGTGGAGTTGAGCTTCCTTACCTAAAGAATCATAACTTTCTGCTTAGTCCCGGGTTTGTTTTCTAGGCCACTGGCTTAGGCTGAGTGGTGTTCCTCACGGCCAGAGATGGTCCTGTTTCCTCATCAATGTGGTCCTGATGCTGCCTAGCTGTTACAGGATCAAAGCGCAGCAGCAGCATCTGAATTGGAAGGATGAGAACCCTAAGCTAATTAAATTGGGAACGGGTTTGCCCACCAGAATTTATAATTTTTGTAGAATAGGCACATTGATAACATACTGTAGGCATGCACAGAAATTCTACAGCCTTGGGAAGGAATCCTTCCACGTGAAATTTTATTTCCACACAATTTTATTGTATGACAAATGTATTCTTTACATTAAATATTAAACCTATTAATTGCTGTAATTAAATTAATTCTGCAAATTTGCCTGTTGGTGATACTGAGCTTCACTAAGTAGTGTATAATTTTATGAGTAACTGAATAACCTTTATTCGATGGAATATTTATCATAAGATGTTTTAATAAGTTCTCTTATGAGAGTCACAGTACAATTTTGTTTTCTAGTAGCTCCTAAGAAACATATATCATGTGATAAATAAAAAGTACATACGGTCTTTAAAAGTATTTTCTGAGTCACACCTGCATCAGAGACAGATACATCTAGCTTACAAATAGAAATACTTATACGGAAGCCATTAAATAATGTGTAACTTTCCAAAGCTCCCTCCAGCCTTATTCCCAAGTCTAGCTTATGGCTACATGTTGTTGGAAGAATTATCTTTAACAGTAATCAAGTGGTAATTTGATCTAGTTTTATTCTTAATTTTATTTACTAGATGACATAGGCAAATAGTTTGAAAAATACTTTTTACTTTTTCTTTCTTTACTTTTTTTTTCTGAGATAAGGTTTCTCTGTATAGACCTGGCTGTTCTGGAACTCATTCTGAAGGCCAGGTTGCCTCAAATGCAAATATTCACCTGTTCCCAGATTCCGGGATTAAAGGTGTCCACCACCATGCCTGGCTCATTAGGATTTTTTAAAGAGAACAATATTTTCCTGTGTCCATAGCCTCCCATATAAAACAAACCAAAGGAGAATGGAGGGATTGCTCAGTGGTTAAGAGTACTGACTCCCCTTTCAGAAGACACAGATTTAATTCTCAGCATCTGCATGGTAGCCCACAACTATCTGTAACTCCAGCTTTGGGGGTTTCCATGCCCTCTTCTGGCCTTCCGGGGCACCAGGCATACACATGATGCACAACCATATATGTAAAAAACACTTACACACTTAAAAAATAATAAAAATTAAAATAGCTAAAGGGGAATATAATGGGTGATAAAAAAGAATATGCTTAAAGTACATTATATACCTGCATGAAAGTTTATAAAACTCTGTATGACAAAATAAAGCATCTAAGCAAATAAAAATCAGAGGTGTGGATAGTAGGTCTTCTTGATGTATTATGTGGTACTGGGGGCCAGGAGTCTACCACTCTGCATGTTGTCAAAGTCCATGGATAAAGCGTGGATCGTTAAAGTTAATAAGGACTGATTTACATTTGATAAATGAAAGGCAAAAGGAACAAATAACATTCAGCATTCCATATAACACAGAAAATAAACAAACCTAAAAGCAATCAGTACAGTTGCAAGCCATTTGCCAAAAGTTATGGCATTCCCTGCCCCTATTGGGAGTCCAGTGGCCTCTGACCACACTTTGGTGACATGGAATGCACTAGACACTTTTTTCTCGGCCTTGTGAAAGAGCATGAGCAGAAGCAGCTTTGAGAAGAAAGAGTTGATTGGCTTGTTCTCCATCGCAGCAGGGATGAATGGCACCGGGATGCATAGATGGAACAAGCAAGAAGAAGGGCCAGACTCTCAATCCTCAAAGCCCACCCCAGTCTTCAGACAAGGCTCCACCTTCTAAAGTCTCCATACCTGGCCAAACACCAGCTACTGGTGTATGCGTATATGCATCTGTGGAGGACACTGCAATATAGAGATTATTTTAATAAGTCAAAATAATTAGGTAACACCTGCTAGAAAAATTAGCCTTATGTTTAAAATGAATATTGGTCTACCTTATTTCTTAATTTCCATCTGGAGGTGTAGACTGTTCCTGCAGAGTTGGAGGAGACACATTGTGCTCCAGGGTGACAAATTCAAATGGGAATATAATGGTTCCTCAATTTGTCTCATTTCAGTCCTCTTTGAGGTTGTGGAGCACAAACATGTTGGTTTTAGTGCTTGGGGACATTGCCATGGTACTGATAATTGTCCACTTGACAGAACTGTGATTTGCCTAGGAGGAGGGCCCGTGGGCCCGCCTGTCAGGAGATTGTCTTGATTTCCTTGCGGTAAGAAGAAGCAAACACCACAGGTGGCTCCACTTCCTGGCTGGCATCCTAGGCTGTAGAGAGAAACAGAACTGAGCGACAGCTTGCGTTCATCCACTGTTGCTTCCCGATAGTGCATACCGTGTGACCATGTGATCATGTGACCATGTGACCAGCTCCTCTAGTGGCTTGATTTTCTCACCAGGATGGACTCTACCTTGAGCTGTTAGCTGGAACAAACCCTTCCTCCCTTGTTGCTTTTGTCGGCACAGGAAAGGAAGGAGAAGCTAAAACAGAAAGGCACTGTGAGCGCGTGTGTTTTCAAAGGGTTATAAGGATCCTCATGGGTCATTCCCAACCGGTCCTCCGCTAGAGGGCTGTACTCTGGTCACCTCTGGTCGCCTGGATCTCATCCCATTCCATTCAGTTCATTTTTCTGCTACTGTGGCTGATGTGTGTCATCTTATTGAAG